GGGGAAGCCCCGCGTGAGTGTCTGACCCTGCACGGGGACCCTGAGGGGAGGGCAGGGGCTGCCGGCCGGGAGAGAGCGGGGTGGGCACAGCTCAGGGTAAGGGGTGGGCTGAGGGGGACCCCACTCACGGCTGTGCTGTGGCGGGGGGCTGTGGCTCTGGGGATTGTCCCAGCCCGGAGCACACGGGTGGGACTGGGCGCCCTGTGGGGTTTAGGGACACTGGAACACCTCGTGTCACCCTGTGCCCCCAGGGTGCTCCCCCCACCCCGTACCCTTGGGGTGCTCCCCCCACCCTGTACCCCCAGAGTGCTCCCACTCTGCCCTGCATCCCCAGGCCAAAGGGTGGGGAGGGGGTTTCTCCCGCGTGTCCATCCATCCCCGTGGTGAGTCCGTCTGTCTGTCCGTGCACCTCAGGCTCGCCATGGCCCTGCCCCGCACGCTGGGGGAGCTGCAGCTGTACCGGGTGCTGCAACGTGCCAACCTGCTGGGCTACTACGAGACCTTCATCCAGCAAGGGGGGGACGACGTGCAGCAGCTCTGCGAGGCGGGCGAGGAGGAGTTCCTGGAGATCATGGCGCTGGTGGGCATGGCCACCAAGCCCCTCCACGTCCGCCGCCTCCAGAAGGCCCTGCGCGAGTGGGCCTCCAACCCGGGGCTCTTCAGCCAGCCCGTCTCAGCTGTGCCCGTCAGCAGCATCCCGCTCTTCAAGCTCTCCGAGGCCGGCGGGCGCAAGGCCCTCAGCAATGGCCACGCCAGCCCCGGCGAGGCCGCGGGCAAGGGCGGCGGCAGCGCCGGGACGCCCCCGGCCCGCAGCCCCACGGAGCCGGGGGAGAAGCTGTCGCCGTCCGCGGCCCCGCAGTGGCCGGGGAGGAGCACCCCCGAGTCGGAGGGCGGCGGGGATGAGGAGCCGGGGGGTCCCCCCTTCTCCCCGGGCGGGAGCGGCGGGGAGCAGGCGGCGGGCGCAGAGCTGGAGCCGGAGCTGGTGCGGACGGTGGCGGAGAGCGTGGAGCGGCTGCTGCAGAGCTGCCCCCGGGGCGGCGGCGGCGACGCCGAGCTGCGGACGCTGATGAAGGTCAACAAGAAGCTGGCCAAGGCCGTGGGGCACATCTTCCAGCTGGAGGACGGCGACCGGCAAAAGGAGGAGGAGATCCGCCGGCACAGCGCGATCTATGGCCGCGGCGAGGCCCGGCGCCGCGAGGGCAAGCAGCTCACCCTGCACGAGGTGGGCACGTGGCGGGGTCCGTGCCTGAAGGTCCCGGGATGGGCTGGGTTGGGATGAGGCCAGGGCAGCTCCAGGGGTGTTGGGTGGGTGGGATCCAGGGTCTGCTCTCGCCCAGGTGGCATCTGCCAGCCCGGAGCAGGTGCCGCCTTCACCGGGGGTCCCGCGTGGGCGCCGCCGTCCCCGCTCACACCTCGTCTCTCTCTGCCCCCAGCTCATCATCAACGAGGCGGCCGCCCAGTTCTGCCTGCGGGACAACTCGCTGCTGCTGAAGCGCGTCGAGCTCTTCTCGCTCTCGCGGCAGGTCGCGCGGGAGAGCACCTACCTGTCCTCGCTCAAGGTCGCCAGGTGAGCCCGGACCTGCTAAACCCCCTCCTCGCAGGCCTGGGGGGGCCTGGCTGTCACCCCCCTGCACCCTGGGAACTGTGCCACAACCCGGCGCTTCTGGACAGGGCCAGGGCCCCACGGCCCCCAGTTCCCCTTTCCCAGCGTGGGCGGTTTCTGCCTGACCTCGGAGCGTGGGAGGTGGGGAGGATGGGAATGACAGGGATGCCAAGCGTGGGGGGGGGGGTGCCAGGCCCCGAGGGGTTGCCAGGCATGGGGGGGATGGTGCTGGGGATGCCCCATCCCTTGTGCCCATCCCCAAAGCCCCCTGCCCGCTGTGCCAGGGCTGCCTTTTCCCTTCACTCTCCAGCTGCTCCCCGCTCTTTCCACCCCCGGTTCCATCTGCGCCGAAGCCCCGACCCGTGGCATCGCCCTGCTGGGCAGCCTCCCCCACGGTGTGGCAGGAGGGAGGGTGGCCGTGCCTGTGGGGGCCTCGCCGTGACCACCCCCCTCCTGACGCAGCCCCTTCCCCCCCAGGGCCCTCCCCGAGGAGAGCGGAGCCGTCACAGCCAAGCGGCTCAAGCAGGAGGTGGGTGTGAGGAGAGGGTTGTGGGGGTGTGCTCACCTGGGAGTGTGGGTGGGACTGCACAGCGTGCCCGGCGCTGGGCAGGGGGCGAGGGGCACCACAGAGAGGTGGTGGCCGCGGGGCTGGGGCCGTGGGTGTCCTGGGGTGGGTGGCACAGGGGACCCGTCACCTGCTCACCGGAGCTCCTGGCAGGCGGGAGAGCAGAGCCGGCCCGAGCTGCTGGCGCTGCCCGTGGGGCTGGAGCCCCCCGGGGTCGTGTACCGAGCCAGCCTGGAGGAGGACACGGGCAGCCTCTCCGGGGAGAGCCTCGATGGCCACTTGCAGGGTGAGTTGGGGGTCCCTGCCCTTCCAGGGGGGCCGGTGGTGGCCGGACGGACCCCCGGCCCCTCGTGCTGACTCTCGCCCTTCTCTTGGCAGCTACAGGGGCCTGTCCCCGGCTGACCCCCCCGCCCGGCACGGCCCCCGACGTGCCCCTCGGCCTGGCCCCCCACGGGCTCTGGAGCCGCCACATCCTGCAGCAGACGCTGATGGACGAGGGGCTGCGCCTGGCCCGGCTGGTCTCGCACGAGCGCGTGGGGCGGCTCAGCCCCTGCCTGCCGGGGAAGCCCCCGGGACCAGGTGAGGGGCTTTGCCGTGGGGGTTCGGGCAGCACCGCCGTCTCCTCCCGTGGAATCGTGCCCTGACGCCGTCTCCCCCTTCTCCCCGCAGAGTTCGAGGACGGGCTGGCGGAACGGGGTCCTCCGGCCCCCCCCGAGCCCCCCCGGGGCACCATCAAGGTGGAGCAGGAGACCAGCCGGCAGTGAGGCCCCCGTAGCCCCCCCGCCACCATTAACGAAGCAATAACGTGCTGGGGGACGGGTGCTGGCGGTGCTCCGGGTGCGGGGAGCCTGGGGTAGGGGGGGCTCAGCCGCAGCCCCCCCGGGCCCCCTCCCCTCCCACACCCACGCTCTGGTTACCTCAGCCGCGGCGGGATGCGCCTCCCCGCAGCAGCAATACCCTCATCCCGCCCGGCTCCGGGCCCCCGCC